GTCCGCGCACGGACTTCAGCACGCTCCGCGAAAATTGCGCAACGGCACTCGCGAGCCGAGTCGCGCGAGTCGTTCTGATCGGTCGAGTCGCGCGATACGCTGACTCAGACGGGTGAAATGCGGCGCGGGTGTTCGGCGATAGTCGTAGCCGTAGACCGAGCGCGCGCGAACCGGTCGTTTCGCAACGTATCGCTATTTAGAAGAGTGGGCGATCAATTTTTCTCCTTCCCCCCGCCCGCCCTCCCCACCTTCGCCGACAGCACCCAGTCATCTCGATCTCTCCCGGGACGTCCGCGTTGCTCGCGGATCAAGGATATGCAAAGAGAATCGGGTGCGCGGTAGCAAACCGTGCCGATCGATCTTGCGGTTATCACTGAACCCGATAACCGAGCGATCGCGTCGACTGATCGACGGAACGCAGCGGCTGCGAGCCTCTTCTTGGAACGTCTCGACTAAACTACTCGTCGATCCGTCGCGAACGATCACTTTTCACAGTTACAATAATATCGGCCAAGCTCTTTGTCGATTTTGCTTTAAAGAAGAATATTTAGTAACATAAGTAGCTAGATCATAGCGTGATACGACTACTGTGATAGTAAATCATTAATAATTATTTTCAAAACCATTTGCCTCTGTTTTAAATAAGAATGTTTAGTAACATAAGTAGCTAGATCATAGCGTGACATGACTACTGTAATACTGAATCATTAATAATTATTTTCAAAATCAAGCTTTTTATTCTAATTGTTCTCCAGTAATTTGGAAGCTCTTGTCATCGTCGACCACCGTGGCAATGGTGACCGAGAGTCACCTCTCGAGCGCAAAGGGTTAATAACAAAATTTTAAATAAGAATACGAGAAGAATTAAAGAAGAATCATGAGACGCAGCGTTAGCGTTACTGTCACCAAGCCGATCGCTTCCTTCGCGAAACGGAAGCGTGTATTTCAATGCCTCTCGCTGTCATCGTCGCTCCGATCGAGTATCACTGGCTCCGTTGTAAACGCACACCGACGTGCGCATCCCGCGCGCCGGGATTAGAGAAATCGCTCGGCTGTCCTCCGATTTTCAAGGACTGTTTCCATCGAGTTAAATGGAATCGTGCCAGAGACGGCGGAATAAACGTTGTATACGCGATCGGTGGGTGCGGCTGTCGCCACTTAACCGGATGCTACCTGCAGCTCGGGAATACTAAACGCGGCTGTTCGATGTATTTATTTACAACGAGAGTGTCCCCGTCGACGCAATCGTTCTTGCGGTAGTAACGAACTAGTGACAATCTAGTCGCCAACTAGTAACCGCCTAGTAATCAAACCTTTTAACCAATTAACCGCGTTTCACCGGTATACGCGTCATCTTAACCCTATGTAGGCCCGTGTAACTTTGAAGTCGCGTATCAGTATATTGGCATCTCGTTGATTTATTCCATTTTGCACTGAAAGTAGCGAGTAAAATTAAGTAATCAGTTAACACACTATCGGCGGGTAACGTCATGAGCTCGACTCACACGTACAGCGGGCGAAAATTAGTCTTTTTTTCCTTAAAAATTAATAAATTTAGGACTAAACACTGGTCAGGCTTTACGAAAAACAACCAAGAACATCATTCCTGCCTAAAAATTAGTGACAATGAGAAAAAACAAACATTGGTAAGTGTGTTGCAAATATGAACATCTAATCTCGGCAGAATGTCGACGTTCGTCCGCAAAGGGTTAACCTTTTGGACTCTGTAGGCTCCAATATCGCACCAGTTATAATATGAAACATTTTCACGAATCAAAGACACTACCCTAGAATTATTTGATGTAACGAAATTCGCGGTATTAACCCTTTGAACTCGGGAGTTGATTTTCAGTCACTTGATTCAATGCGGGGAAACTATAAAATCTATTGTTCAACCCCTTAACGCAGTTTTTTTTTAAAAAAACCGGCCAAACAAATCAATTTTGATATACTGCGCTTTTTTTCCATAGAAAAAGGCTATATTTTATTCTTGAATAAATAAGTGTTACAGCTTACATCCCATGTAAATGATAAATATCGATAAAACGATTTTTCTTTGCTTTCACATTATTTTCACAGTTTGGGTTCAGCGCGCTCGAATTAACCCGAGCGTGCAAGTCAAGGGGTTAATATTGAACTGTGTATAATGCATCGGTGCGAGGGAGTTAAGAATACACTTCACGCTGTTTCTCTATACGTTTATTCGACGAAACGAACATCGGCCGCGGAAAGAGCAGTCAGTATCACCGTCGTGTTTCGAGATGACGGATGTACCACTCGTCGATCACGGCGAATCGCCCGAGCGAACAGGGAAGAGGGAAATTCGTCGGTAGAAAAACAAGATACCCGACGCGTCGGCATCGATAGATCGCTATCGAGATAATCGCGCAGACGATAGCGAATACGATAAAATCCTCCGTGAGATCGGGATACCTCGATCGCGATACGGCGTACCCGCGATCCGACGAGAAAGGGGACGAGCGGGCTCGGTAGGGGAAACCGCGGCCGGGGAGGGGCGAACGAGCCGCGCCGCGGACGGGGGCCGGCGAGGAGAGAGGGGTGCTTCGATGCAGAACGATTTAAATATGACCTTGAACGACTGCAGACTCGAAGAGGAAAAAATTATAGCGCGTTCGCGGACGATACCGATTAGCGGCTCGAAAATTTCCTCCGCGCCGGAATCTCCGACTGATCGCTGAGTTCAAGGCAGGGGCGAGGGGAAAGGGGAGAGGAGGATTTTTAACCCTTCGCCAAGGCTCTTCGGAATATACGAAAGCTTCGATGGATACAGCTGAATTATATATCGAATGCTTAATTAATGCTGTGGAATGACGATTGAGACTGATGAAGATTTCTAGAGTTTAACCCTTTGCACTCGAGGTGACCCTCAGTCAATTTGATTTGGAAAATTATAGTCTTTGATGTTAAGCTTTGTATGGTGCAGCGATATGTGGAATATTGAGAAATACCTTCCTAATTTATGCATGTTTTATTATTAATTAATTCCGAAGGAAAGGATATTGAATGTCTAATGAAAAACTTTCGTCTGCAAAGGGTTAACCCTTTGAACTGTAGGTTCCAATATTGCACCAGGAATAATATTAAATGTTTCAATGAATCTTAAAGAAACTACCCTAAAATTAATCGATTTTTCACACATCCAAATTTTGCACTAGGGAAAATAAAAGATCTAAGAAATGTTTTAGCATTTTTCATTTTCGGTAGGGATAAAAATTAGTTGCAGTTGCTGATAGATTACAAAACAACCTGGAGTGCAAAGGGTTGATTCTTTTGAACGGGAACTGTCAGAGTATATCGTAATACATGATACACAGTAACACTATTGTTAGACTGAATATTCGTGTGTTCACAGTGTGCATTCTTCGTGAACAGTGTTTTCATAAAAGCTTAGCTTTAGACTAACTACGAGGAGTTTCTTGAAATTTCTTCGTACCTATCCTGGGGTGAACTAGGACATTCTGACACACATTTTTCTTGAACGATGTTTTCATAAAAGCTTAGCCTTGGAATAACTGCAAGGGGTCTCTTGGAATTTCTTCATACCTAACCTGGGGTGAACTAGGACACTCTGACGTAATTCTTTGTGAACAATATTTACATAGAAGTTTAGCCTTGGAATAACTGCAAGGGGTTTCTTGAAATTTCGTCATACCTAACTTGGGGTGAACTAGGACATTCTGACATAATTCTTCATGGTCACTGTTATAAAAGTTTACATTTGGAATAACTGCAAGGGGTTTCTTGAAATTTGGTCATATGCAACGTGGAGTGAACTAGGACAATGAGATCAGAGTTCATTGGAAACAAGGAGTATAATTATAGTAGGGATTAAAAGGGATTACACTTGAGTTATATGTGTCGCAGATTGATCAGCTCAATATTCTTGTATCTCAATAGAAATTCCTATGAACACAGTAAAAACGTCTGAGAGGCACACGCCATGGTACAGTGGTTTTGCGTTTAGCCTCTTCCTCCGCATCTATGATACCGAGATATCTCACTACCATAATTGCTTTCCAGCAACCGTTCAACACGTCGAATGCTATTCAATTTTACAAAGCAAAATACACGAAATAGAGAAAATCAAATATCGAATTATTTGATTGAATCACGTTATTCTCATCACACCTTCATCTAGCCGAATCGTCCATCAACCATCATCACTCCCAAAACACAAAAATCTCCAAACAATCATTGAACTCAGCGAACCCACAGCAATTCGCTATATTCCAAGGTCAGCGGTCACCCAATTCACCGTCTCAAATTCACCCTTAGACCCTACGTTTCCCAGAAGCCTCGAAACTTCTCAAAGCAAGAATCACCGAAATCTCAATCATTTCATCGAATGACATTATTCTCATCACACCTTCATCTAGCCGAATCCTCCATCAACTACCATCACTCCCAAAACACAAAAATGTCCAAACAATCATTGAACCCAATGAACCACAGCAAATCTCTACATTCCAAGGTCACCGATGACCCTGTTCACCGTCTCAAATCCACCGTTGCCCGTTTCCCAGAAGCCACGAAACTTCCAAAGGAAAAATCACCGAGAAACAAACGAGGCCCACACTCCCACGGTTGAAAAGCAAAGCAAACATTTGCCAGCGCGTACAAAATGCAACACGCAAATGTAAACGCAGCGTTAATCTCGTTACACAGGGTCCTACCGTACACATTTCCCTCGATTACGAGCGCACACGTGCGCGCGCGCGCGAGCCCACGTGCGTGTGCACACACGAGCAGGACGCGTGTGTACGAATTCAAGTGCGCGCGTGCAGCGGCGGCGGGCTAGGCAGCTCGAGGAGGGTTACAGAGAGGGAGAGTGCGCGGCGCTCGAGCAGAGGGGCGACGAAAGAAGAAAGAGAAACCCGTCTAAGCGTCGGCCGGGGAACGGGGCGGAGGAGGAAGGAAGAAGGAGGGCGTCGCGATTGGTCGGGCAGCGGCGTGTTTACGCGGTGCAGTGGGGGGGAATACTCTCCGCGGCTCACAGCTGAGCGGTGTATAGAGGCGGCCAGTCCGTGGACAGGGTGGACTAGTAGCGAGTGAGCGCTCGTCGAGCGAGCGTCGTTGCGTCGTTGCGTCGTCGAGCGATAATGACGTCTCGTGGTCGACGGTCAACCGCCGGATCTTTGAGTATCGTGTGTACAAGCGCGTGGTGAACCGACAGGACGCGGCGCGCGTCTATCGCGGCTCGGCACACAGTTCGCGTCCCGCTGGGAAAAAGTGAGTGTCGCCGCGCCGATCGTCGAGTCGTCGGACACGGTGGCAGCGTCTTGGGACCCGCAGTGGAGACCACAACGCTCGGATCCAGAGGGAGGATCGGTCAGCGTTTAGATCGGTTCGGAGGATCGTTGCTCGACGCTCGGAGCGTTCGATCGGAGTTTACCGGATCGATCGACGATAGGGGATCGGGCGTTCGAGAGTTTAGGGGATCGGCCAAGGTCGAGATCGATCGCTCAGAGGATTGATCAACAGTCACCGGAGCGTCAGCTGTTATCGCGATCGATGAGTTGTCACCACTGCCGCCCTCCTCGTCGCGTCTCGCGCTTCTGCCCGCTGTTTCCGGTCGTTCGTTCTTCAGGGGAAACTGAGGTGACCGAGGGAGGAAGAGGTTGGAGGAAGGGACAAGGAGAAGGAGCAAGGAGCGTCTCCTCGGTGTTCGCCAAGCGTCCCAGCTTCTTTGAGAGGGGGAGTCCGAGATCGAGATCGAAGCGCGCGCGCCCGTCCGCGCGAAATTCGCTCGGTACAAAGGACGTTGCTGGAAAGGACCTGGACAGGAGGATCCTCCGCTAAAGTGTGTAGTGTGAAAGTGAGGTGGCGGCGAGTTTACCTCGGGCCCAGGAGACGAAAATGGTGCCGCAACAGCAAGACAGCCCCTCCAGTTCGGGGATACCTATGTTCGGATCGTTGCTCGTGGATAAAAATTCGACGACACCCTATTCGGACGCTACGCAGGTATGTGACGCCTCGCTTGCTGATGTTAACCACTTTGCGCTCGAGGCTTCTTGCTGTATCGTCGGACCGTTTGGCTTAAGGGTGGGCTAGGTCTAGGGGAAATCAAACGTGGAAGGATCGTGCACAGTTGTAACTGTTGCGTTTCATTTTGAACATTGGATTTCAGTTATTTCAAAAATTATTTTCTAGGGGAAATTTTTTTTTAATATTAGGCTGTTGGCTCTGTTAACTGTTGCATTTGATTTTGTTGAACATTGGATTTCAGTTATTTCAAAAATTTTCTAGTGGGAATATTGTTTTTTTAAATATTAGACTGTTGGCTCTGTTAACTGTTGCATTTGATTTTGGTGAACATTGGATTTCAGTTTTCAAAAATAAATTATTTTCTACTGGGAATATTGTTTTTTTTAAATATTAGACTGTTGGCTCTGTTAACTGTTGTAGTTAATTTGATTTTGTTGAAAATTTGATTTTAGCGACTTCAAAAAATGAATTATTTCCTAGTGGAAATGTTTTATTTTTTTCTTTGAATATTAAAGTATCGATACTGTTAACTGTTGTAGTTAATTTGATTTTGTTCAACATTGGGTTTTAGATATTCTCGAAAATAAATTATTTTCTAGTGGCAATATTTTTTTTCGAATTTTAGACTGTTTTCGTTGAATGGCAGTAATACCCGAGTCAACAGAAGATATTTTATTCGAATATGTCGCGCGTGGTTAAATTATAGAAAATATGTCGAGTGTTGAGATTGCAAATCTCTCGAGTGCAAAAGGTTAACTGCGACTGTCCTCGGTTTGTCTACAAACTTGAAATATTATTGAAAAAGTAAGCGCGCGTAGCAATAATTTGTTTGGACTGTTTTCAAATTTGAAAGTATCCTTGGCGGTGTGAGAACGCGACCAGATCGCGGAAAAGTAAACGAACGGAATGGTGCCGCAAGGGAATCAGAATGCGATTGCGTCGGAGAAGTTTGCGTTTGTTCGAACTACGGTATTATAGAATTTCCGAGCCACACTTTTCATTTCTAAAACACAAAACAGAGTATTTAAAAAACTCAAATCGTCAAACTTCCAGAATAACAAATTATCTTCAAAAAATATATAACTAAAAATTCAAAAATTGTCACATTTAACTGTAATCGAATTAAATGGTAGTATTGCTCGTGACTCAGAGAGTGACGAGTATATACGTCGTATGTAGAACAACTGCACTTTGAATTTTAATGAAAAACGAAGAATAACACGTTCAATTGCCTCGCTACCTCAATTAACGCTGATTAGTTAACGTAGCTTTTCGATTCCTATACAACCCCTAACCCTATACACTCTTCCTAATTTCTTCTGATCGAGTAATCTAATTCTAATTCTAACCTCCACACCTTATGCTACAAATAAATTGCTCGTTTCCACTTGAACACTCATTAACAAAACAAAATTTCAAAATAACGTCCCAAATGCTACCCTCTAGAACCGACCTCATTCCACAATTTCATGACTAATCACCGAAAACTCGTTACCAACCCTTATTTCTCATCTATAATCGAAACTATCTCATTACCAATCCATCAAAACTAAAACCTGTATACTCCGGCAATATTTTCCAAACTACAGTAACCGATAACAAAAGAATATTCATTTCACAAGAATATTCATTAAACTCTAAAATCTTCGTCTCGCAAGGGTTAACGAGAGCAGCGAAGCTGAAACTTCGTTCGCATGTTCCATATCCCAGTGTGCGAAGATAACCTCATTTAACGCTGTCCAGTCGCAACGTTCGCGTCGCGCGAACGTATCTTCGACGTTAATCGAGGTATCGCGGCGGTAAACAAATTTCTTGCCTCCGAATGTCGTCGCCGACTAACGGCCGATCCGCGAAAAGAACCGTTTCCCCGCGGTATCTCGGTATCTCTGGGAATATCGACAGCGATCCCGCCGTTAACGATCGCGCGACGATGATCTCGATGACGATTACGGCCGCAAAACACGATTTCCTTTCGAACGGAGGAGACGAGAGCCCGGTTCCTCGTGGCCGCCGAGGAAGCGCGATAAAAGTGTGTCCAGTACCGTAGCAATACGCGCCGCGAAATCTGCGCCGGCCATGCGCGTTCGCTTACCTGTTTATTTTGGTAACGCTGGAACTTCCCCGAACGGAAGAACAGATTATTTTTGTCCTTGGTTCGTTGTTCCCTGCCGTTTCTGCGTTCGTTTACTCGTTATCTCCGGCGCGGTTGTATTGGTTTTTTTTTTCCGCGCCGGCCGCTCGAGTCGAAACCGGCGACGCGTGTTTTCCCGGAGGGAAACGTTGGCTTTGCCAATTGAAACGCGGCTGACGCGTCAGCGACGAGTGAACTCGTCGTAAGAATGTTTACCTGGTAAGACGAGATGATTGGAGTTTTGCTGTTAGACGAGAGGGATTGAGATTTTGATGGATATGTGCGTTCGTTGGGGATGTGACGAGTTAACTCGTGGATATCTGGGAATGTTTTTGGTAATTTAGTTAATGGAAGGTTAACGCGTTGAGTGCCAAGAGAATTTCGGTTCGTGAGATTTATTGCTTTGGAATTGGGGAATTGTATTGGGAATTTATTTGGTATTGTAATACTTGTACGCTATTGTATAGCTTCTTGTGTTGCTAAATACTCTGATTCAATATTGGTTTTCTTATTGTAATTTTCAAGCATTATTAATTTGGTATTACAATACTCGTACATAATTAGCTTCTCGTGCTGCTAAATACTCTGATTCAATATTAATTTTGCTATTCTAATTTTCAAGCATTATTAATTTGGTATTACAATACTCGTACATAATTAACTTCTCGTCTTGCTAAATACTCTGATTCAGTACCAATTTTCTTATTCTAATTTTCAGATATTAATTTGGTATTGCAATACTCTCACATAATTATGTAGCTTCTCGTTCTGCTAAATACTCTGATGCAATATAAATTTTCTTATTCTAATTTTCAAGCATTATTAATTTGGTATTACAATACTCGTACATAATTAGCTTCTCGTGTTACTAAATACTCTGATTCAATATTAATTTTCAAGCATTATTAATTTGGTATTACAATACTCATACATAATTATCTTCTCGTGTTGCTAAATACTCTGATTCAATATCAATTTTCAAGCATTATTAATTTTGTATTACAATACTCGTACATAATTAGCTTCTCGTGCTGCTAAATACTCTGCAATATCAATTTTCTTGTAATTGTTCTCAACCAATTATTAATGTTTCGGTATTACAATACTCGTTTCATCATCTAGCTTCTCGTGTTGCTAAATGCTCTGATTCAATATTAACTTTCAAGCATTATTAATTTCTATTACAATACTCTTACATAATTAGCTTCTCGTGCTGCTAAATACTCTGCAATATCAATTCTCTTGTAATTGTTCTCAACCAATTATTAATGTTTTACAGTACTCGTTTCACGCTATCCTCCAGCTTCTCATGTTGCTAAGTACTCTAATTCAATATCAATTCTCGTATAATAATTATCTTCAAACAATTAAGAAGCTCCGATCACCGATGACCACCGCGGTAGTCAATGCGTTAAACACCTCGAGCAGTTTTAACCCCCGATCGCCGTTTAGTTCCGATTTCTCGCGTTGCGCAGCGCGAGGTTTCGCCTTTCGTTCGCGTTTTGAAACGTCCGATCGATTTCCAGCGATCCCAGGCGCCCTCGCGAGGTGTCGGACCGTTGGAATCGTAACGGCGAGCCGCTCTTTTGCTCGCCGAAGGTCGAGCGAAACGCGTTTTTCGCAACCGCCGCCGCCGCCGCCGCCGCCGCGCCGTCCAATTTCAGCCGCGTTCGGGCGAGAGCACTTTCTATTCGGTGAATCGACGCGTCGCGTCGCTCCGTTGCACCTGTTGCGGGCCCGGGACGCGGGATAACGAACGCGGGAAGGTAAAACCTCGCGAGGAATTACGAAAAAAGAATTCGAGCGAGCGGCGTTACCGAGAAAGGAGTCGTTTCCCGATATTTCCAACGATCGTGAAAGGAACGACGCGTCTTCTCGCGTTCCCCGATCGAGAATTTCAATCGATCGCCAGCCGATCGGTACGCGACGAAGCTGGAGAAATGAAAAACGGGTCGAGATTCGGAGTACAGACGTTTGAATTCGAATTTCCACGTGAACTTCGACCTTTGAGAGTATCGGTTTAGTATATCTTACACTTTAATATTTCGTGTCTCGCATTGTTTCACGTATTTCGTGCAATGTAACTTCGAAGTGTTCCGAAGATGCGTGGTTTATTGTAGAATGTAACCTAGGGTCGGGTCACCGTAACCTACATCTGCCGATTTCTAGTCGAACACGTGTGTCGGGTAATCGTTCGGATCTAGAAGTCAAAGGAGAGCCGCCGGTCTGCTCGGTCACCGAAAAATAGTTTCTGGTGTCGCAACACCGCGTCGCGGTCGAGCGAGTTTCCTTCGAGGCCTCCGGTGAGAGGATCACCCCGTATAATCGAAAGCAATTGTTCGCCGACGCGGTATCACCTTTTAACGTTTCCCCGTTCGAAACCGCTGCATAGAAAACGTTTCAAGCGATAACGGTGGAATGGTACTCGCTTCGAGGAGAGAGGAAAGTAAAGGAGACGGAAGACAACGAAACGAGGCTGTGTCACTGATTCACGCGTTAAAAGCAGAGCACGGGCGCAAACAGTTTCTTTACTTTCCTTGCGGTCTATTTTTATCTTGTTATTCCGCTTCACCGTGGTTATTCATTTCGCGCTCAAGGGCTGCCGTCAATAAAGTAATCCGCTATAGTTCTGTCGCGCGTTGCTGTCTACGGCGCTCCTTTCCCACGTGTCTCGAGTAAATTATTGTCACCGTCGTGAGCGTCATTAATCCTTCGCACTCGAGAGGTGGCTCTCACTTGATTTCATACAGAACTAAAATTTGACGTTTAATACTATACATTGTGTAGCGCATTAATTTGAGAAATATTGAAACAAAGTAGCTTTGTTATTCGATGCACGTGTGTGATTTCTTCGTCATGAGCATCATTAATCCTTTGCATTTAAGAGATGACTCTCACTTGATTTCAGACAGTAAACCTAAAATTTGATATTTAATATTATACATAGTACAAAGCATCGCTTTGAGAAATATTGAAACAAAGTGGCTTTGATTTCTTGATTTCAGAGATTTCTTGATTTCCAGCTTACTAATTAATATTGAAACAAAATAGCTTTGTTCCTCGATGCACGTGTGATTTCTTCGCCATGAACATCATTAATCCTTTGCATTTAAGAGATGACTCTCACTCGATTCCATAGAGTAGAACTAAAATTTGATATTTAATGTTATACATAGAACAAAGCATCACTTTGAGAATTATTGAAATCAAATGCTTTGTTCCTGGATGCACGTGTGATTTCTTCGTGATGAGCATCATTAACCCTCTGCATTTAAGAGATAACTCTCACTAGATTCCACAGAGTAGAACTAAAATTTGATATTTAATAAAACTTTGAGAAACATTGAAACAAAGTAGCTTCGTTCCGCAATGCACGTCTGATTTCTCCTAGTTTCACAAAATGTCCCACACCAGAATGAAATATTCCTATAAACCTCGCGAGGGCAAAGGGTTGAAAGACAGATCAGAAACGGTGGTGGCCAGCAATTCGCCCAGTATGATCCGAGCGTGTGAATTCCTCTGTTTCAGACGAAGAAGAACAACCCGAACCACATAAAGAGGCCGATGAACGCGTTCATGGTGTGGTCGCAGATCGAGCGGCGGAAGATATGCGAGATCCAGCCGGACATGCACAACGCAGAGATCAGCAAGCGGCTGGGCAGGCGATGGAAAACGCTGGACGAGGCGGAGAGGCGGCCGTTCATCGAGGAGGCCGAGAGGCTGAGGCAGCTGCACATGATGGAGTACCCGGACTACAAGTACCGGCCCAGGAAGAAGACCTCGAAGCCGGCCGCCTCCGCGAGCCCGAAATCGAAGGAGGGCGGTACAAAGAAACCGAGGAAATCGTTGTCGTCCGCGTCGAGCGTGGCCCCGTCGTCGGCTCTCGGTCTATCCCCGACGAAAGGTCTGGGTCAGCCGCGCAACGACACCAACAACAATATGCAAACGAACGGTGCTGGTGGTGGTGGTGGTGGTGGTAGTGGTGGTACTGGTAGTGCTAGTGGTGGTGCTGCCGCCGCTGCCGGTGTCACCGGAGGCGGCGCGATGGTGGTCGGAGCGACGGTGAAGAGATTGCAGCCGCAATCGAACGGTGGCAAGCCAATCTCCCGGCTGAAGGTCAGATTGGCGCTGGACAAGAGACCTCCGCTCGATTACACCCCTACCCCTCCCATCGTCACCGCCAAGATACCGAGCAGTCCTTCCTGCGTCGCGCCCGACTCGCCGGAGTCGGCCAGCTTCTACGAAGACAGTTTCCTCGATTGCTCCGTGAGGCTGACCGCCGGCGCGTCCACCTCCAGCCGCGCCTCGTCCCGTTCGATCGCGAACGAGATCAGCGATATCAAGCGGGAGACCGACCTCGAGATGGAGTACGAGACGACCTTCGAGCCGAAAGACCGGCTGCTCTCGTCGGTGGGCCGGCCGATCGGGCCGGACGCCACAGCGACCGGCTCCGGCAGCATCGGCAGCAACGTCGCGTTCCCTTCCTCCGTCGAGGAGCTGATCTCGGAGAGGAGTTTTCGGGGCAGATGCCAGCTGGACCGTTGCTCGAGCTTCCTGGTCAAGGAGGAACCGGTCGAGCCCGAAGCGGACATGGACATGGGACCGGAACCGGACGATCCCGAGCAGGATTCCGAGGCTCTGACGCCGGTATCGTTGGCCGACCGGTCGAGGCCCTCGTCGAGCAACGCTTCCGGGATACCCTCGATGTCCAGGAGCTCGATGGACGACGGCTGCTCGATCGGCGCGACGACGACGGCCACCACCACCGTCGTCTCCGCCGCGTCGCTGGTGAAGCTGGAGGAGTCGCAGAACAATCCCAGTCTAGCCGATCTCTACTCGCTGACGGACCTGCTGCAGATACAGCCGTCCGACTTCAAGATCGACCTCGACATGGAGACGATCACCACCGACCTGGACACCTTCGAGACCGCCAGCTCGAGCAGCGGATCGCACTTCGAGTTCTCCTGCACGCCAGACGTAACGGACATGCTGTCGACGATCGGCGTCGGCAACGATTGGGTCACCTTCTGAGGAACGGGCGGCGAGGATCGGTTCGCGTGCGCCGGGACGCGACAGTTTTCTATACGCGTGGCGTCTCGATTAACCGGGTAACTCTACTAGATCTCGATCGTTCAGGGTCTTGGCTGGATTGGTGCTCGATCGATCGTTCGCGGTGGTTCGAGGAGGCGGTCGAGTCGGTTCGCTCCGCGGGATGCGACGCGTTCGATCGCGAATAACGGATTTTACTTGTATCGTTACGGGTGTAGCTTTAACCTACCGAACACGCGGAATCGTTGCGGTTGTTGTCGTATCGCGACGTCCGCGGAACCAATAGGATCATTCGTTATTCCCGGTCGCCTTTGACGATGGAAGTTCGAGGAATTCGGGAGCCGATCGAGCCGACGGGGATCATGTATTATAGAATCGAATTCGACGAACAGATTTTCCAGAATTATCATCTCGAGATCGACCTGGGCCAGTCGCCCGTGAACGGAGCCGGTTAATCGAGGCTCCACGATGCTCTGTTTAAAGTTTCGATCTCGATTCTGCCCTCTTTCTACTCGTTTTGTACCTAGATGAACCGTGACGAGGAGTATCGAGCTTCGGTAACGACGCGAGCCTCTTTGTACATCTACTGTAGCATATTAGGATTACTATTTTTTTCTACTCTATTAACTAGGCTTAAGGTTAACCCGATCGTGCAACGAACGATCGTCGCGAACGCGTCTCGCCTCGTTCCACGACCATTCGTTCTTCGATGTGTATATCCGTAGAAACATGTGTAGTAATATATACATTATACGTACATATATCCATGCATATACATGCTTACACACACATATACATACATACGTACACACAAACACACACGTACAGACACGTGGACGAACACATTCACGCGTATACGCACGCGTGCGTTCATAAATCGATAGAAGAGTTGGCGTTAAGCCGAGACATCAACGCAACGCCTCGTGGACCCGTGGGTTAAGGCTTGATTCACACCGACGGACAACCGTGCGGTCGGAGCAGGATCAAGGATTTCGTATTCAACGACCGAGAGTAATCTAATATTCGCGGTAAATGTTTCTTTCGGTTCTGTACGATCGAGAAAGAAATGTCTTCTAATGCACTTACTCTAAACGAAACGGTTCGGTTTGGAACCGAGGATTTCATTTCAGGAAGACATCTTTCGTTCGAATGTCGTATTTTTCACTTGACTATCTCTTCATTTTCAAGGTTATCGATTCATGTGTTTCCAAGGTTACTCATTCATCTCTTTAACCGTTTCAGTGCCAAACATTTGTCGCGTTCAATCAAATGACTGAGAGTCGCCTCTCGAGTGCAAACGGTTCAACACTGTGACGAAGACGCGATCGCACTTGGCACTCGAACGGTTAAATAATCAGTCGGTCATCTGCTCGAAGTTATTCGTATCTTAACACTATGCCGTCCGCACGCGCTATGAGGATTCTTTAGTTTGCCTCCGGTAGGACTCGTTCAAATCTTTCCACCTTTTCGCGTGATAAAACGTCATGTTTCACTAATCTCAGTAGTTCTCAGTCTTGTCCCTTTTCACAGAATTTCAAACCATACAGTTTCTTGTAAAAAACACGAAACTTGATAATATGATCGTATTGCAGCCTGCAACTTGTTGCCTTGAACAGAACGTAAACAACAATGTTGCGTGATAGCTTTGCACGCGACATTAACGTGCTGCCACCGACGTTTGTCTGAAAATTTCTCATCAACGTGGTGCCACCGACATTTGTCTGAAAATTGTTCACCAACGCGAAGGCGCCACTTGTCTGAAAATTCCTCACCAACACAAAGGCACCACCGGACGGCATATCGTTAAGCCGATGATCATTCCCCCGACTCGACCGCACAGTTGACCGCCATTGTGAATCAGGCGTGAACTGTTTCGCCCCGAATTCGCGAGCATCTTTCTTCCGTGTGGGAAGCGGCACGGCGAAAGCACGAGCCACGCGACATCGGCCGCGGTTTCC